TTTCATAAAAATTTCCAACTTTTAATTAGCAAAATTTTCGCAATTTCTTATCACATATAGTGTAATAGAAGAATTCCCCCCCGGAAACTTGGACTAGAAAGAAAGTTTGCTTTCCAAACTCCAACTTTTCTAACATTGAATGAGTTAGTACCAAAACTTTATTTCGTTACCTTTTCAGTCCCAATAGTGCTAGCCCACCAAAAGCAGCCGGAACTTAGTCGGACCCACACATAACCCACTAAAACAAATGGCAAGATCCCGCTGGCATCCTGCCATACTAGCCTGCCTGCCCCCCACCCAGGCGCCCACAGACTCGTTCCCTCTCCATCTAGCATGAAGATTTTGGAGAATTCCTATTTCCTATGCCAATTTGGGGTTTCAAATCTGATGAAATTTCATTACTTTGAAGGTGGGCAGTTGGGAGAAGGTGCTAATTGATCTTTTGAAAGATTTAATAGAGAGGAAAGCAGGGGATTGTGTGCCTCCAGAAGGAGAAATATTCCCCTCAGAAAATTGTAAGTAAATAGGTTTTGCATTTTTCTAGCTTTGTATCTTCAAAAGCAGTGATCTTTCTGAGTCTTGAAGTGTTCTCGTTTAGGGTAATCGCTTGAAATTATATTATTTGCACAAAACAGTGAATGGGTTCCTTTGTTACATATAACACTGCAGAGTATTGTGGCTATTTTGTGTGTGTTTCTGTTGGCTATCTCCGCTTTTATGGTTTTGCTTTCATTTTTTAATGGGATGTTCAAATGCGCTTGATTTTTTCTTTTTTTTGGTTTCTCGTCCAGTATCCGGGGCTTCGCCCCGACTAATTTGGACCCGATTCACGTCGCACACCTGAAAATGGTGGATGAGTCTTCCAGCGGGAGCTACTGCATACACAAGGACTCGAACTCAAGACCTTGCTTAAGCTGGAACAAACCGCTTACCACTTGATCCAAACTCTCGTTGGTTCAAATGTGCTTGATAGGCACAGGTAAAGAGCATAATAAATTTATGCAAGTTAAGCTTTAATTTATCATTCATCTAATTAAATTCAGT